TATATATATATATAATATTATATTGTATATATATATGTGTATATATATATATGTGTGTACAATATTATTAATACTCTAACTTTCACTAGACACTTTAACGCGATCGATGCATGCAAATTGCCGTAGGCACTTATGTCATAATAAAATTCGTTCAATTCATTATTGTTATATTGTACATGTTATTCCATTTCGTGAGGTTTATTTGATCCTTTTCAATTTTTTTAGTTTGTATTTAAACGTTCGCGCATAATATCTTTAGTTAGATGCTTTCATAATTATGAAAGCATCTTATTATTCACAGCTGCCTTTCAATTTCGTTTGATATAGACATATACATAAGCAGGGAAATATATATGAATTTGAAGAGTTTTGACTGTCTGCATTTTAAATTGATAGAAAATTTGTTTCTATGCCAATTTGAGTGTATGCACAGTTTAAAATAAATTTGTGACTTAAAAATGACGTATATATGCGTTTTATTCGAAAGTAACTATTAAACTAATGGATGAAAAATACTAGGTATCATGAAAAAAATAAATATACGATTCCTGAAGTATGTATGTTGGACATTATATATATCTTATCATTCATTAATGTGAATGACTGTTGCGAGGCATATATAATGTACGATGTATGTAGCGATTTCGAATGATACAATTATTACATTGTGAATAACATCCTTCGAAGCAGTATTTAGATTTGTTGGACGAAAATTACATTATAAATCTAGAATCATGATCTCATGTGGTATATATATATATAAAAAAAATCTTATGTATACTCAAATAAACTTGAGCAATATTAATCTAATTTTTTACTAATTCATGTATGTGATTGATTGTACATATTGGTGAAGAATGTTTGGAAAACTATGCGGCTTCAATATTCCATTGAGATGTAAAGTCTCGAATTCCCAATCGTTTTTGCTATTTCTTCTAAATAATTTTCAGTATATGTGTATATATGGATGTACGTAATGCATGTATGTCCTATGTACGTTTATCTATATGTCATTATTTGTGTGTGTATGTATATATATATATGAATATCTACAATATTTAACATAAGTTACAGAATGAAGAATGCTGTAATTATTGAATTTCATTTAGGCAATAAATCTAACCTATCAATATAGCGCGTTCATAAAAATCAAATATAAAAATTATACTACAGTACTCTTATACTCGGCTCTCCATTTTCATAGTTCCATTCGCTGGTTGAGACGCGATTGTAACTTCACTGATTTCGTCCGTTTCCGATTGACTCGATGTGTCAGAAGCGTCGTCTATTTCCTTTCTCTAAATTTAAATAAGAGGAGCGTTTTTTATTTCATACATATATGGAATCATAAGAGTATATGTATGATGTCGTAAGAGAGAAATATACCATATTATTTATAAAATTGAATTATCAATCGCAAAAAATCAAACGTGACTTAAACAAGTTGAATTTTAAAAAACAATTAAAAAATGTGCTTAATGTATGTTTAAATAATGTATGTATAATATATGTCTACGTGGCATATTTGTTTGCAAATATATAATAATGTATAATTAATAAGTTTATATCTTCTTGCAGTTATTTTTCATATTAGAATTCATGTCATGTGAAAATAAAAAAATTTAATTTTCTTACTTTTTGGGAATGTTGTATATTACGAAGAACCCTTTGAACATCCGGATTACTCTCTAAAGTGGAGGTCTGACTGGACGGAGGATGTGAGTATTCAGAAGTATTTTCTTCATCGGAAGCTAATGTCCCTTGCATTCTTCCAGGTATTGTTGGCTTAGATCTTCGTAATCTGCAGCCGGGACCAATTGGTTTCCTTGCGATACTATTTAATAGAATATTTACAATATAACAACTATTTTTTTATAAGAGCAAACATTTTTCAATACCCGCGTTAATATTGTTCTAAAAGATATAAGCAATTTTATTAAAAAAGTTCTTTATAATATATATACAGGGTGTCCCAAAGCACCCTTGACAACGCTCG